GAACAGTCATCTTTCTTTTCCAAATTAAACTTATGGAAAGTCAGAGTAATATCATATCCTGGACCCAGATCAATGATCCACTCGCACATCACACTGTTTGGATATTTGTCAGGATGATTTGGAGACATGACGGTTCCTGACACTGTCGAAAATGTCACTTTACAAATACCTGGATAAACAAACGCATATATATTACTTATCTCTCGTCGATTTAAGCATGGTACCAGGGATAGAGAAAACAAAATTATCGCAGTTCCTCGATAATTTACGATTAACTATCTCCAAACATGAACATTTATTGCTCAACAACAGCATTACGGTCATGTTGACTCAGCAGTGGGAAAGATCTTTTGTCGGAAAATCAGTTTCTTGTTAAAACTTCACATGGCACAGCTAGGCTGATAATTTTGATAATATTCAAAGTAAATAATTTTTTTTTCGTGAAATCCTGTTGCAATTTCTTTTAATTGGCCACATGCCTTCTTTCTCTATTTAAGAATCATCAGCTCCAGTCAGAACAATTCCAAGTTATTTTAAATCATAATTTCTCGCGGGCAAAATCACGTATTCGACGGGGTGGGTTGGTCTAGCAGTGAAGGCTTTATACCAAAGAAGGAAGGTTTAAAGCAAAACAAAACAAAATAACGCTAATTAACGTAAAGTAAAGCTTGCAAAGCAAAGTAAACCAACTCAGCCGTCGATGCCAGGGTAAGTAAGTATCCAGGGAAATAAAACAAGAGTGTTGAAGATCAAGTTTTACTCACCTTGATGGTTTGCTGCAAATCCTCGGTTTTGGTTGGCATCGTCTGTGTGCATGTGCACGAGAAGAGAGCTACCTTTTGATCGAACCACGCGATACTCATCTTCAAATGGTAGATTCGCGCCACAAACACGCTTTATAGAATCGGTGCTTCCATAAGAACCTTCCAGAACCTCCACATAGTCATTAGGGCAATTATCCACCTGTTAATGAAGCAGAAGAAGAAAAATACTTTCCCTGCTCACGACAGTGTAATTTCGAAACTAAGAGAAAAAGTGAGCAAAAAATGTGACACTACTTGAAATACATGGCCGCATTGCTCCTTGACAGAGTTTTCTTGTCTTTGTGTGGAGGTTATGAAAAAACAACTAAACGAAGATAGGAGGAACTACAGAAAATGGATGCATACCGTATCACCGTCCATCTGGAAGATAAAAGAAAAGAGTTACAAATTGGAACGATAGAAGAAATCATCAAGAAAGCGGTTTAGAAACCAAGAAACATAAATTGCATTGTCAGTTACCGCAAAATCTTGAAAGTTGATTTCAATAAGATTTCCATCTGACACTTGAATCAGCCAATAGCAGTCCAAATTTGGTGCGTACTTCGATGGGTAGCTTGAAGGCTGAAATGAACCGGCCCAGTCTGTTAAATTTTGGTTAGGGCAAGACTCTGCATCTGAAATTAAAGACGTTAGAGAAATTCGTATTAATTAATACATTACCTGTATTGGGTAAAACAGGAAAAAGAGAAACTTCACAATACGCCGGAGCAATTTGAAAACGGAGATTAATTTCACTATGGAAATGCATCAAATGTTTTCCGTCCACACTACGCCGGTCAAATTTAAAAATGCAACAAGCATCGGTCATTTTGATTTGTGTTTGAGGAAAACTCGGTCAGGGAAATCACAAGTTTCCCGTCTACACAAAGACGAAAAGCCAGCGTATTCAAACTCTCCCGGTTTGAAGAGCGTTTTCGAAAAGCTCCGTTTTGGTGACGGATAAGTGTGGACGGTAGATCTAACCGTAGTAATAAAGCTCCTTTTTCAAATTTCTCCGGTGTAGTATGGACGCTGCCTTAGTTAATAAATATATATCCAAAGTTTATCAGATAACTAACCAGCAAACCAATTATTAATATAAACTTTGCATATCTTAAATAAAGTGAGTTCACAACCACAGTGAAAGGAAAAGACAGTCACGGCTAATAGGAATGAAAAAGCTCAGTCATAACAAGCATTGATTTTGCAGTTGTTTTTGAAAGATGTGCAAGGCTTGGATCTGTTTCAGTAATTTTAGGGAAGAAAAGATAGCGTAACAATTGTGAAACTGTAGCGTTATCTTAGACAAGTGCAACCCCAAATTTCTAATTAGTGGAGAACGTTGAAACTGATTTTTGCTTGAGAGAATTCAAAGTCCTCTTTGTCTCTTTCATACATGCTACCAAACACGATCACGTAAACTTCCTCTTCTTAACTTTATATGAATTTTATTATACATTTTACTTGAGAAGTTGTGATTCAATAATTCGTTTTACATATATCAAGAGATTATCAGATCTTCTCTAGTATATATTTATCAATTTATGCAGGACACATGAATCGATGTATCAGGTTCGCAGAAGCATTTCAACTTTCCCATTTGTTTGTACTTTGTGAGAGAAGTACTGCGTCGCGGGGTTGAACGACAAAACGAATTTAATCTTAGGTAGACTTCATTAAAAAAGTAATATCACTAAATACGTTACCTGACATCAAGAACAGCGAATATAATAGAGCTAAGACACCAGACTTCACTGCCATTTCAGCTGAACACAAGAAGAGTTTGGAAAACTGTCCACAGGAGGAAGAGATCCCATAAGTAATAAATGGTTAATTAAAATTGTTCAAAATAACCTTATAAAATGAGACAGGAAACGCATCAGATTTTCTGTCCTGTTGGTGCAGTTCTGAAGTTTTTCCTTCAGAACGAAAAAAATGTTCCACCATACGGGAAAGATTGCCAGAATGTCCCATGGCGACTGATTGTTCGAGTACTCAGTTTAAATTATGTTCATTCATTTTCTCATACTCATCAGTAATATCTGTTGTTTCTTTAGATTTTTGGTGTTAAACCTTATAGTGACGAGAATAACCCTAAACAACACAATATCTAACTACTGCGGCTTTGGGTGTTTAGCGTATTTTTGCCTGAAAGTAACTATAGGCAACAACTTGGTCTTCATTTAAAATCGTCTTCGGCGTGTGTTACAGCGGTAACAACCCGTGTGTAAGAACCTAGTGGTTTTCAAAAGACCCTGCTGGTAAATATTTGCCACTCTAATACCAAAAAATATTAATAAGAACATGTTTAGCTGAACAAGCTTAAGATCAAGAAGGTTCTTATATATGGATTACAGTTGAATTATAAACTCTTGTTATAGACACAATACCACATATGCATTCCGTAATGAGTTGTGTCAGGCTTATCATAATTCAGTCTTGAATAAGTACTGTATATTAAAGTACCAAACCCAAAATTATTTATTTTTTTGGTAATCAGCAACCATATCTCCTTCTTAGAAATTAAGAACCTAATTAAGAACCCACTTAACCTAAATAGCCAATAACTATTCTATAATACCAGAACCTGTTTTGCCAGACTTCAAAAAATGTAGGTTCTTCCACGCGAATTTTTACCGTACTCTATTGCATAATAAGCTTCGATTCCAATCGTCTCCCAGCTGTGACGGTGTTTTTCCTAATCGTTTCATTGTTTCGGTTATTTCAAAAGAGCTCTTCAATAATTTAAAAGAAAAAAAATACAGTAATCGGTTTTTTATCCGAATAGAAGAAGATCCAAGAGCGAAGGAAATTTGTTACTTTAAAAACATTCTGATCAAAGACCTTGATCATTTTCACAGTTATTTTATTTGGCATCATTTAAAGCTCGCTTGCTAAACATGAAAAACTCTCAGTCGTAACATAGGCCCAAAAGATAAAAGTTCATTGTTTCATGGATGTGCTGTGGGGTTAGATACATCTGAACCAAGTAGCAAACGTAAAATCTCAGGAGCAATAAGCTGCCAAATATCGGCTCTCATTTACCGAATATGTATTAATAGAAATTTAGAGAAATCTTAGTTACTTGGCCTGTATTTTGTGACCAAGGTCTGCTTTAGACTGAACTTCAATGAAAGAAATTTATTTTAAAGTGATTTCGTATTACTAGCTCTTCGGTGCGGCATTCTGTCTATTTGTCCATCAACTTCAAAATATTTTGTAGCGTTTATTGATGAGTTATAAATGCGAAAGGCCGTTTTATTCCCATGAACGATTCATTTAAAGAAATGATTAACCCGTATGGAAATTTTATTTAAACCTTAACTTGTGATCAGATCGGAAAAA